CCTATGACGAGTTACCAACGTCCAACCTTCATCGTCATCAGGTTGATTGACTTCAACTTTATTGTTCTCCAGTAATTCTCCATCTTTACTTTCTTTAAAACCATATAATTCATCCGGACTGAATGAGCCAAATGTGATAGAGACTTGGTTTGCACTTGCTTTCTTATCTTCAAGAACGATCTTCTTTTCACGAGCCAAGTTCATAACTTTGTCCTTGAAGAAAAAGCACTTCTCTAGAGGGTGGCTCATAAGTCGATGATATTTGCAGTAATTTGGGTCATCAGTTTTCCCAGCTTTATTTGGCCGCTTCATCTCCGGAAGCTCAATGAGATTTAACTCGAGGAGTTCTTCGAAAATGGCTGGTACATCAGAATCCAGGAATAGGGACTCTTTCTCTTGCATTTCCTTTAGAGTCAACTTTCCACTTGGCTTATCTTGAAACGAAGTGGATTTCATACTCTGCTTCTTGCTCACCTTCGTCGTGAACTTCACAGGTGATGTGTTGACATTCATAGCTTCTTTATTTTCAGATATTGGTACAAACTTGCTCCATTTTCTCACTTCTTGCTTGTCATTCCCTTTGTGAGGTTCATAGATGGGCAACCTTTCATTTCCAGCGGAGGCCATGCTCAATTCCATGTCATGGGCACGAGTTGCAAGTTCTTCAAATGTGCTAGGCTTGGTACCTTACAAGATGTAGCGCAATCTCCAATGCATGCCTTGGATGCACATCTCTATGCCAGAAGCTTCTCTAAGCATGTCTTTACAGTTGAGGCTTGCGTTCCTCCAACGATTGATAAAGTCGATAACTGGTTCACCCTTCCGTTGACGAGTATTTGTGAGTTCCACCATGCTCAAAGTGCGCCTTGTGCTATAAAAGCAATTGAGGAACTCTTGCTCTAGTTGATCCCAGCTATCAATAGATCCCGCATCGAGGTCTGTATACCAATCAAAAGTATTTCCTTTTAGCGAGCGGACAAACTGTTTGGCAAGGTAATCTCCATAAGTCTCGGCGTTGTTGCATGTCTCAACGAAGTGCGCCACATGTTGCTTTGGATTGCCTTTGCCATCGAACTGTTAAAATTTTGGAGGTTGATAGCCAGCATGCATCTTCAACATATCAATCTTTGAAGTGTACGGCTTTGCGTAGGTAAAGGAGGACTTGGAAGCAACTTCATATTTGTTTTTTATAGTCCTTCAATGAACTCCTTTAGTTGATTGATTGGAATCATCCCTTCCGAAGAGACTGGAATTTCCTTAGTGGATGCAACTTGTCGTTGGGGAGGATCAATCTCTTGAACTTCTGGGAGTTTGCCAGGTGCATGGGTGGATTCTTCTTCCATCGAGATTCCCACCCTATCTGTTAGCTTGTCGATTCTAGCATCTTGATTTTGCATGCACTTGGTCAAGCCTGTGATTGCTTCCGTCAAGTTTGCCAACTGCTCCTCCACATATGAAGTGTTTGTCACCATGGCTTGCATGATTGTCATGGACGATGGAGAGTAGCATGGATTTTCACACAGATTGATCATTGATTAGCTCACGCTATGTGGTGTAAGTGGGGAGGATCCATCACTTGAAGCATCATCATTTTCCTTCACAACAGAGTGCTTGGATCCGGAGAGGTCAAGCAGAGCAAGAGTTTTCTTGATCTTTTCAGCAACATCGCTTCCTCCTTCGGGTGCGTTTGTGGAAGATCTTGCTCCTTTTGAGGATGAAGATCCGAAAATGGGGGTTGATGCGGACGGCACATGGGGTGCTTGTTATCCTAACGAGCTTGCTTTGCTCCTCGTAACTGGTCCAAAGCTTCCAAAAGTAACATCGATGATGTTTTCCACGTCAGCATAGAACCTGGAATTAGCAACCTTGGCGGAAGTTGAACTGGAGTTGATTTTATTTGAAGTCATTTTAATGTTCTTGAACTTTGATGATTGAAAAGTTGAGATGAGATGTAGAGATTGTCCCACTGGGCGTACCAAAATTTGTAGACAATAAATTTGCGTCAAGAAAATAATCGAGACTGAAAAATATCGCAACAATCGTAGTATTTGATTTCAAATAATTTGGGTATACAATCTCTATGAATCCCCTGATTCTTCTTTCCAATAGTAAGTTAATTCAAGGTCCTTTGAGCTTGATCTTGAATCTATATTTGTTTCCACGAACGATGATCTTGAATTCAACTAGCACGAACTTTGATTTGAACTCGTACTCCTTGAATCTTGATTTGTTCTTCGTTCTTGAGCTTGAACTTGATTTCTTGAACTTGAACTTGATTGCTTGAAGCTTGTAGAGAAATTTGCGGCGTTTGATCCACGAGCTCTCTCTTGCTTCTTGTTATAACTTCTAGTGTCTTTTCTGGGTTATGAAGACCCCTATTTATAGTTGTGGAAGGGAGGAGTTGTGATAAGAACAAACTCTTTCCGACCAATCAAATTGGAGTGTGACATGGCCGCATTTGATTGGCCAGAACATGTCACTTGCACACGTGGCGCTGTTTCATTGGCCTTTTAATGTGACTTGGCATGCCTTGTCATTTTGACACGTGGCATAATCCTATTGGCTCTTCCGTTTGACTTGGCGCGCCACGTCATTTGACATGTGGCACCAAACTGGGCCTCTAGGAAGATGACATCTTGGGCTTATTGAAGTGGGCTCATCACTTGTAGCCCAATTAAATGGGCTAGCCCAATAGATTAAGACTTATTTATTTAATCTATATATGTTGGACTTATATAATTAATTCAATTATATTAGCTCATACAATATTTATTTGGACCAATATATCTTGAATTTAAAATATAATCCAAATTATTTTATGGATTTAATTTTAATAAAATTTATATGCCTACACCAAACACACCCTAAATCTAGCTTAATCTCTTCTCAGTTTTCTTCTTCTTCCTTCTCCTCCATCTTCTCTTCCCTTGATATGATATTTTATGGCAGAAAGCAACATTAGACATCGGAGAAAGAATCAAATAATCTTGCTCCTTTGCTACAGACACAAGTACAGCACTAATGTGTGATTTCAATCATGTGAAAAATTGCTTTGATGTGTTGAACCAGAATCTGCATTAAACAATAAACTTTAAGTTGTTTCGTGAAATATTCTTATTCTCTACAAAAAGCTATTCCTATCCAACGTAATATCTAATTTTGAAAGAAAAAAAGTTCCACACAAGTTTACATTTAACTTTTAGACAATATCTAGAAATTGAACCAACTATATAAAAAAACTATATATAACCAAGTTTAGACTATGGTTTAAAGTAACCCGAAAAGTTTTATACAAGTTCACCGAAACTTTTAGACCATGGTCTTTAAATTGAATTACCGATAAAAATTATTTTGGCCTAAGTCGTCCGAAATGTTTCATACGAGTTGGGAACTTTTTGACCAATGATCAAAAAATTGAACTACGTATAATTAGTGTATGACTAGCTCATACAAGTTACCGGGAACTTTAGACCCAACGTAGAAGAACTGTAAATTAAAATATGTCTGACCAAACTTTAGATCTGATGGTCTAAAGTTATTCAGAAGTTTTTTTCGATTATGTAGCATATATATATATATATAGTAAAACTTTTTTAAAACAAGGACAAAATATAGACAGAGACCTCAAAAAGAGCTATGTGCACTTCAGCCTATCTACGTTCTGTCAATATAAGCATTTATCAAGCACGGTTAGCCGATTTTAGGATTCCTATTTAAGTTACAGTTGAAGTTCAAATTTGCTAGCTCAGCTGCTTTAATACCTATGCTTTTGAACTTTGTTTGTCAAAATCTAACTTCAAATATGTATGTTTAAAGTTAAAGTTGGACGGGAAAGATTTTTTAAATCTTTTTTATGATCAGTCAAATACTGTCACATAAATTAAGATGCATGAAGCATGTTTTAAGTTTCCTTACGCTAAAATCTAAACGGGGAGATTTGAAAATTTGACAATTTTAAGCTGAATTGGCCTAGTTTTTTAGAGGTGCCGATTTGCTCGCCATATTCCACACACCCATATACTTAAGAGTTTAGAGCGACAGCAATCGTGCGGTATAGAATTGAGGGTAAAAGTTCAAATTTACCCTTAAATTTTTGTTACCATATTTTGTTACTTGATAATTGCTGCTAGGGTTATGCAATTTTTTTCTAAATCTTGCATAATTATGTTTTCTAAATCTAGCTTAAGCACTGATTAAAATCTGGATGTGCCAGGTGTCCCTACATGGTAACTTTTAAACCAGCCTTTATTAACCAGCCTCCTCCCGTCCAACACGTGGCAAAAAAATACACCACCCTTTTTCAGTTTCCCCTTTCTACCCCTAAGAGGAGCATGTCAATTTAGAGTCTGTTTGGAAGAAATTGTATAATTATTAGGTTGTGTAATTACATAGCCTTGTAATTACATAACATAGTAATTTCATTGATATGTTTTTTGTCTAAACGTATTCACAATATAATTTTCAGTGGCATATTTAATTGCATAAGTGTAATTACACGAATTAATATTTTATGATTTACAAAAAAAATAATTGTCAAAAATTAAATAAACCTTTTCAATTTTTAAAAAAAGATAGATATGAGTTTTTAAATAAATATTTATACTAATGAATAGAAAACGAAAGCAGCAAAATGTGAAATTATTTTCAACAAGACTTCCTCATAAAATAATTTCTCACAATAAAAAAACTTATTCAAGTTTATCTACACTACAACAAATTTGACCTAAGACCACACTTTTATAGAACGCTTTATAAGGGGTGGCCTTTGTCAAGCACTTTTGGTTACGGATTTTAGGCGACACTTATGAAGCGTGCCTTTTAACAGTAAACACTACACTTTTCAAGTGTTGTCAAATAATAAAATAATTGGCTACGCTTACTCAAATGTAATACGACGTTTACTGGGCGAGGTAATTTAACTTTGTAAAAGCTACCCCATATAAGTGTGCTCTAGTAATTCCCTAAAAATTCCCGCTAAAACTTTTCCCCTAAATCCTTTTCTCTCCTAAATCTTTTCTGTCCCCAAAAAATAATTATGCCCCAAAATATCCCACTAAGTTAAGTTTTACCCAAATTACATGAAAACTCCCGTACTTCTTCCCTAAAACAGGCTCTAGTCATCTAGTTAAGCAGATTAGGGTAGTTTTTGTGCAAATTACTGATGGAAATACTTAATTTCTTCTAATTGCTCTTCTCAAAAGTCAAAACCCTCCTTAATTGGGTTTGGTGGCCGTCAGTTTCAATTGGAAAGTTCGTTTGCTTAGGGTTACAACTGCTAAAAATTTGTAAGTTTTCTATGAAATTTTTGCTTTCCGTTTAATAACTTTACAACTTTTACTATCTGTTTGAAAGAAACTGTTGAAAAGATCATTATTGTCCCATTTTGTTGCTTAGTCTCTGTAGCAAATTTCGTGAGGGGACTAGACCCTATTAGTTATTATAGATTCTAGAATGCAAGCTTTAGTTAACTTGGCTAATTTTATCTATTTTTCTTTATTTTATAAGTTTTAAAATATTTTTGTCAATTATTGTTTTTGCTAAGTTGTCATCTTGATTCTTTGATCAATGTTCAGTGATATTTTTTTTTTCATCTTAAATTTAGGTTGCTGGTTCTGCAATTTCATCCTCTTCAAGAAGAGACACACATTGGCAAATTTTATTTAAGAGCGCAAAGCAGAGAAATACACTTTACAAGGTTAGTTAAGTAATACCTGATATGTTTCTATCCAACCATATGATTTTTCTGCTAATATTATCTTGAATATTTCAATAGAGTGGAGCTATGTGTTCATGTGTCGATAACTTGATAATTTTTATATGTATAGCTTTTGATAATTTTTAAAGCCTCTGCTAGATTACCTATGGTGAACTTGAAGTTGGGTTTGGCCTAAGATAAGTGTCATGACTAGGTAAGAGATTTTTATTCTCTTTATTTTTTATTATGCTATTAGCCTATTACTATACAAGAATTGATTTTAAAAAATTACTCGTAATTTTTAGGGTATATTTGTTAAGTATATTTAATACTTAAATAAATCTATATTTTGAAATCTAATATCACCATTGATTTTAGGTTTTCAAATGATCCTTCCGAGGCTTGGATGGATTTACCAAGGTATAGCAAAGAGTATATTGATGGTGTTCAACATTTTTTGAATTTTGCTTATTCTGATGGAGATCCTCAGGGCGAAGATATTCAATGCCCGTGTGCAAAGTGTTGTAACATCCCTTGGTGTCAAATGAATGTAGTATATGATCATTTAATATGCTACAGTTTTGTTAAAGGTTATACAGGATGGATTAATCATGGGGAATAAAAAATTCCAATAGATGTTGATGATGATATGGATGAAGATAATTGGTATGATGATATTGATGGGTTGTTGAATGATCAATTTAGAGATGTTGCACAAGGAGTTTATGAATGCCAAAATGAAGATGCCAATTTTTTTTATAATTTAGTTAATGAGGCAAGCCAAGAATTATATCCTGGTTGTAAAGGATTCTCTAAATTATCATTCACGATCCGTCTATATTTGTTGAAGTGTCTACATGGATGGAGCAATGAGTTCTTTACTTCCCTCTTAGAGTTATTGAAAGAGGCGATGACCGAATTGAACATTCCTTTATCATGCAACAATGCCAAGTCTTTTGTAAAGAATCTAGGTCTGGATTATAAGAAAATTAATGCATGTCCCAATGACTGCATGCTATTTTGGAATGATCATAAAAGTGATGAATATTTCCATGTTTGTGGAGCTTCTCGATATATTGAATATCCTGAAGTAGATAGCAATTTTGAGCCTCCCAAAAAAGCTCATCGTGTTGCTTCTAAAACTTTGAGACACTTTCCGTTAATTTCTAGAATCAAATGGCTATTTATGTGCTCAAAGACGATAGATAAATTGAGGTGGCATAACAAGGAGCAGTCTAAAGATGGAAAGTTAAGGCATCCTACCGACGGCCAAGTATGGAAAGACTTTGATAGCCTTCATCCAGATTTTGCAAAAGATTCTCGCAATCTGAGACTTGGCTTGGCAAGTGATGGATTCAATCCATTTTGGACCATGAGCATTTCTCATAGCACATGGCCAGTTGTCTTAATGGTTTATAATTTACCTCCTTAGATGTGCATGAAACAAGAATATTGCATGCTTTCGTTGCTTGTATCTGGGCCGCGATCTCCTGGAAATGATATTGACATTTATTTGCAACCATTAATAGAAGCGTTGAAGGTATTGTGGGAGTCAGGAGTTGACACGTATGATGCTTTAAGAAATCAAACCTTTCAAATGCGAGCAGCTCTTATGTGGATAATTAGTGACTTTTCTGCATATGCTAAGTTATCTAGGTGGAGTACAAAAGGAAAGTTGGCTTGTCCTTGTTGTAATTATGGCACTAATTCTTGCTATCTAAAACATAGTCAGAAAATATGTTACATGGATCATCATGTTTTCCTGCCCATGGATCATCCATGGAGATCCAACAAAAGGTCTTTCAATGAAAAAACAGAATTTAGGCCTCCTCCAGAATTGTTAAAGGGGACAGATGTGTTCAATATGTTACAAAATGTTGAAAATGTATTTGGGAAGATGCAAAAGAAATCAAATTCTGGCCCATGGAAAAAAAAAGGTCAATTTTTTTTAATTACCTTATTGGCAACATAACTCGCTTCGCCACAACTTTGATGTAATGCATATTGAGAAGAACATAGTTGACAATATAATTGGAACACTTCTGAAAATTTCGGGCAAGATAAAGGATCTTGAAAGTGCTCGTTATGACCTCAAAGAGATGGATGTATCCTCCTGAAAGATTTATGTGTAGGTACAAGTCGTATGTTCGCAACAAAAATCACCCAGAAGGATCTATTGCTGAGGCATACTTGGTTGACTCTAGATACCTACATAGGGGTGTACATACCAGATTTAATAGAAGGCCGCGAAACAATGATGATTGTTGTTCAACTGATGAGCAAACCCGTAGTTTGTTTCCTAACAAAGGCTGTCCTTTAGGAGGAAAAAATGGTGACCCAAANTATATATATATATATTGCTAACAAATAACAATACTTATTGGGTAGAGAGCATGAGCTTGAAGTTAATAGCCATGAGCGAAGATCTAAATGGAGCATGGCCAAGAGTCATAGTCAAAACTTTTTCCAATGGTTCGAAAGCCGTATTATGCACACGGATGTGCCTGATTTTATAAAACAATTGTCTAGAGGACCAAATTCAATTGCTAAAAGATATTCTGGGTATCTTATTAATGGATATAGATTCCATAAGAGGCAGCATGATGCAAGGCGTACAACACAAAATAGTGGTGTTACATTAGTTGCATTAACTACAAGTTTTGCAAGCTCCAAGGATAAAAATCCGGTTGATGCAAATTTGACTTATTATGGTAGAATAATTGATATCATTGAGTTAGATTATTTTGGACATTTTAAGGTTGTGTTGTTTAAGTGTGACTGGTATGAGGCTGAAGAAGATACTTATGGTCTTACTTATGTCTACTTCAACAAGAAATGCTACCAAGAAGAGCCCTTCTTGCTAGCATCACAAGCACACCAATATTTCTATGTACAAGATCCACATGATCAAGACAAACATTATGTTATGAACACTGTCCCGAGAGACTTGTTTAACATAAGTGACCAATTTAAATCTGATGCTCCCTACTGTTATGAAAATGGGTCGTATGAACATCCGATGAGCCCATCTATACCGAATGATGAGGGTGAAGTTGTCTTAATAAGGAGTGACGTACCTGCAACCATAATTTATGTGCCTCCAGAAAGATTTTGTGCTCAAGAAGTTGAAATTGAATCGGAAGATGAGTTTGATGTTGAGGATACATCATGAATTTGATTCTAATTTAGCAAAAATTGAGGATCATTAAATTGAAAAGGTATTTAGACTCCAACTTGTCTTGCAAACTGTTATAATAGATATTAAGTTCATTAAATTGATCAAATCTTTAATTAATCTCAAGTTTCATGGATCATTCATCGGTTATAGAAAGATATGGGGTCTACATATATGTTAAAAAGGGGGTTGTTTTCCGACGCCGACGAACTCAACTTTTGGAGCTGTTATTTTTGTGTGAAAAAATAGGGATATTTTCGTGTTTTAGATGGAGTTTTTCGGCTGGTTTTTGGGGTGTTAAAGGGTAGTTTTTGTGACTGCTTTTCACTAGTATATTGGGGTCATTTTGGGGCTGATTTAGAGCTGAAGTTTGGAGGTGCTTCGCTGGATTTTGTGGCCAGTTTTCATGATTGTTTAGGTTGCGTTTTAGCATGATTTTTGGCTAGAGTTGAGCAGTAATTTTGGTGGTTGTTTGGAGTTGTATTTGCAACTATTTTATGCTGTTTTTTTGTTGGGGAGAATCAAAGAGGAAGAAGATAAATTTGTCTTCTTTGTGTTAAGCCAAAGCTGCAGCTATTCTATCCTCTAACTCTTAAGGTTTTTTCCCCCAAATTATCCTCTCTGTTAGCTTTTTATCTCTTTTATAAAGAAAAATTTGGTGGTTACCTGATAATGTGCAAAGGAGTTGGTCTCGGGAGTGACATGAGATTGAGGTGAGAAAATATGTGAGGGTGTATGCTAGTGACGTGAGGGAGTGGGAGTCATGGGGTGAGTGTTTAGGTGAGTGAAATGGGACTACTATATTTTGTTTATTGTACTCATTAGTCAATTTTTATTTATATATGACTAAAAAATATGCAAAACATGGTGCTACTATATGTTATTCTAGTCTTTGTTCTTCTAAACGAACGATTAAAGTTTAGTTTCTATCTAATTATTAATTTCTTTTTATGTGTAGGAGAAAGCGGGTGATGCAATTGGAAATGGTGTCAGAAAGTCAATTTGATCTTAATGTGAATGCAAATAATTTTTGGATAATTAAGATGTCTAATATTCATGATACTATATGAATATACTCACTTTTGAAAAGTTTATTGTTAATGAGCATTTTGACACATTGTTTTATTAGTACGTGTATTCATTTGAACTATTGTTTTTGGTATTTATTAGCTAATTTAGTTCTTTATATCATCAAAATATATGATAATAATGCATATGCTTGAAATCATTGTAATTACATGTTATATGTAAAATGTAATTTTTTTAAAAAATAAAAAATAAATTGTATAGCCTAGCCAAAATTGTCACGCTTTAAAAGTGTGGCTATATGTGTGTACGTCTACCACGTATATAAGCAAAGATCACGTTTTCTAGGGGTTCCTTTAGAAGCCACGGTTAACAAGTGTGGCCTATAAGGTAACAAATGCCACGCTTTTTGTGTGTAATTGTAGTGTATAAAAGCGTTGCCTTATGGGGTGTAACAAGCGTTGTCTTTATTACCTAATAGGCCACGCTTTTAAGCGTGGCTTGTAAGGCAACATTTGAAAAGCATGCCCTTAGGTCAACAGTTACGCTTCTTTTGGCCACCCACAGAAAAGCGTTGCCTAAAGTCGAAAAGTGTGGCCTTTGACCAAAGGCCACACCTTTTGCTAGTTTATACCATACTTTTTCGGGGTAGTCAAAGGCCTATGTCACGACTCTAAATTTTTCACCGACGGGACCATGATGGCGTCTAACATAACGTTAGAGAATCATTAAACCAATTCTTTATTTTCATTCAGTAATTAACAATAATTAACTAAGATAAAATATAATAAGTGCGGAATATCATAAAACTGTATTAATTACTACCACCCGGATCTGGAGTCACAATTCACGAGCATTCTAGAATTTACGACATGTAATAGTCTAAAAGAAATATAACTCTGAATGAAAGGAAATAGTAGGACATAAAGGATAGACGGATATTTCAAGGTCTGTGAACGCTGACAAATCTACCTTGAATCTCCGGACAACGGACCAATAGCAAAATCTCGATCAACCTGAGCCGGTACCAAAATCTGCACAGAAAGTGCAGAGTGCAGCATCAGTACAACCGACCCCATGTACTGGTAAGTGTCGAGCCTAACCTCGACAAAGTAGTGATGAGGCTAAGGCAAGGCACCTACAAATCAACCTGTACAATTTAACAGTGTATATACAAATAACATAAATGAAGAACTATACAGAAAATGTCGGGAGGGGAACATGTTGAGGGGAATACGAGATAAAGAAATACAACAGAATGATAATAGGAGAAGTCAACATACCATGAATCAACAGGAATAGTGAATACAGTAAAGAAAAAATGCACGACATCACCCTTCGTGCTTTTACTCTCAATCTCACCATAAAATCAATAGAAACGACACGACATCACCCTTCGTTCATTAACTCTCATATCATGGCACGACATCACCCTTCGTGCATT